GTTGAGTTTATAAGTTGTAAAGCTTTACTTGTGGCTTATTAGTCATCACCCTGGCTACGAGGTATCCAATTTAAAATAACATTTCCTTATGGTAATACAATGATAATAAATAATAATAATAGACCTTACGGGAGGGCTCCACGGAGAGGCGTGTACCTACCCCTCAATATAAAAGACGTAAAGTCGTTGTTAAAAATTCGCGTGATTTCTGTTAACAAATTTCGTGTGTGATAGTAATATAATTAAAAATAAAAACATGACGTTACCGTTGTGAACAAATAATTATTATACTGTGCAGAGTCCATGGTATAATAAATACTTGTGTGTATGTACTACTTAGGTAGTACGCCTTGACTGCATACATATTATTTTAATACCACCAAGACGTATGCTGTTATTATATTGTATGTACAATTGGATCATTTAATCGTTCAGTATTTCTTGCTATATATTATTCGGTAGATTGATGGTTATTGAGCGAAAACTAGGTATCTTTTTGGTGGAGGAGGGTTCTAGTTCTGAGGCTGGTATAAAATTGGGCCTCTAGCCCCTACCTCTTATGCCAAATCAGTTCCCGTTTCTGTTCGGGTAAATTATTTAAAATTCTATTTGCAAGCAATTTTTTGCAAATGAAATCATAATATACTGCCTCATGCATAATTTGTACAAAATATAAATTAGGTAGTATAAAATAGAAATGTGCCATAACTTTACAGCTACAGCTACAGCTACATAGTTAGAGATTCCAGATTCCATTTACATTTTTGACTTCTACTTCAACGATCGCTAACACACATTTTTAACCGTGACTATTTTACTTTTAAGTTAGCAATCCTAAGCCTGTGAAATTAGGAAGGGATATGTGCATAATTAAAAAACGGGAACCAATTCGGATACTTCCAGCTCTGATTAGGAGCAACATTTTCAAAAGAATGTCACCACCCTTCGTACAATAGAGCTAAATCGAATGTTAATTTTTTTTGAAAATGTTTGAAAATATCTGCGCTGCCGAGGCTGTTGTGTAAGTTTGCTGCAACGATTGTATTTCGAAAACCGAAGGCAAAACATTTTATTATAATAATATAAACTATAGTCTATAGTAGGTAATAGGTATATAGGTACTGTTTTAGACCGTCATCGCCACCGCTAACTCCCATCGTTTTCAAAATGATTTCGCAGTTTGAAGATATTATATTACAGTAAACTAGCTGATCCCGCGCACTTTGTTGCTCGTAAAAATTACAAAAATTGTGATTGTTCAACTAATTTTGGGTGCAATTTAGTCGGTGCAACTCGTTTGCGCACAATCCAAATTGTTTACCTAGATATCGATGACTCGTTTGCGCACAACGAATACCGTCGTTAACCTAAAAACGGACGACTCGTTTGCGCACAACATAAACACTGCATAACATATATTTTATATTTTTAAATTTGGACTAACTTAAGTAATTGATTATCAGTACATCAGCATATCAATATTCAATATATCATTATCATCATTGAAAATAATCGACGTGTATTAAACATAATATTTTTAAGCAGTCGTTCTCCAGAAAGCGGTACTACCTACTGACTAGTGACTATGGATATCGAAATTTGTGATATTTTTGAAAGAGAATTTCGAACTTTAAAATCTAGTGATACACATTTTAGGTGTACAAATAAAAAATGTTCCTTGAGTGATGTAGTAAGGTTAGTTATTAATAAAAAAATATAAAATTTTAAAAATTAAAAACACGCATAGAACCACTATTACTTCTTATTAATTGTATAATTATATATTTATTCAGAACAGACACACACGACATGCACATTTTTAATCTGTACAAAACAGATGGTCCTAAGCCTATATTAAAGTGAGAAGAGAAATGTGCTGTTCTGCTCAAAGTGAAATGTGCGCAAATGAGTTGTACCTTTATAATTTAAACCCAAAATATGTGTGCGCAAACGAGTTGTGATTTTGTGCGCAAACGTGCCGTAAAAAAGGTAAATGTGCGCAAACGAGTCGCACCCCAATTTAGTTGTTATACGGAGGAATGCAACCGTGACACGAGATTTTTATATATTAGATAATACTTATATTTCAGCGAAATTCATTTTATTTTGATAAATGCATTACGGTCTGCAATCACATTGAGAGGGTAGATATCTCTGGCTAGATTAAATTGTATTTCTTGTCCAAAAACAAACCTTTTCGCATAAAATTTATAAATTGTATTTTCTACTGTCGCCCGCAACCCCCACCTACGCCATGATCACGACCATTGCGAATAACAATTTATGATATATACCTACACGGTATTATTGTTAGCTCACCCGGAGGTTGGTTTACAAAGTCGCTGGGTTGTTTCAATCCGTATACGGCTCGATGAGTACAATATAATGCAGGAAATGGTTCGATATATTATACCAAAACAGACTCATAAAAGTTACTTCTTGGGTCTCAAGAACAAGACGTATCGTATCCTGTGACCGGCGTCGAATGAAATTTGTAATGACTATCAAGACGTGTCGAAAAAATTATTTTCATATATGTATAGGTACAATATTTTGTTTTTTTTTCCTGACTTAATAAAGCGAAATTTGAGAAAACATTTTATAACTTTGTTTCGATCTGCAGCACGAAAAAAATCGGTTATTTTTACAAGCTCGAAATTAATTCTCACTTTTTTGTTTTTTCTGGAAAATGTACTCATTCACTATTAAAGTACCTAAAGCCGTATAGGTTAACCTATAGTTCACGGAGCTCGTCGCCGCTAATATTTGTTACATACTTACAACTTGCAAGGTTTATGGCTGATATCATCTATAAACCTTGAGCCACTTGCACGTACATAGAAAATGGGTATTATTTCGTGCGACGATTATAATACTGTTGTACGATGCCACGACGAGATGGTAGGAGTGTCTGCTTGGTAGAGGGAGAAATGGTGGGAGAGAGGGAATGAGGATAGAGTCGCCATGCTGTGACCGTCGTACATAAAGTACATATTATTATATAGTCGACGACCCGAACGCCGTGAGACTGTTTATCACATACCCGCGTGTGCTTGGTATGGGTAATATATTTTATAGATCACGACGATATACAGGGTGCTTATCTACAACAAAAGTCACTGTGGAACAAACATAATATTATACTCTGTGAAGTGAATCAAAAACGACATTTTCAAAATCATGTCGTCATAATATAGACGTCATTTTTACTATTCGTATCTACCTGATGATACCTGTCTGCCAAGTGTTAACCTGATACGCAAGTACTTACCTTTCGACATCTGCTGTTGAAATTTATTATTATATCGATATCTGTTTCTACCTGTCTGAGTAGTAACTCTGTCTACCAGTCGACAATATACCATGTATTATATTATATTATATGCCAGCACTTGTTGGTGCTTGTTGGACGATAAAAAACGGTAGATTACATGAGTTTTCCATTATGTCACTAATAATTATGGTGCAAAATAGGCCAACACCGTGTGACATATTATCATTTCGCTTGCAGAGTTTACCAGAGAACGTAGTGGAGTACTTATTTATTTTTAAATTGTTACCGTTTTTAAGGGATAAACATTAAAAACCTCATTTTTAAGATATAGAAATAATAATAGCTCTAAAACATTTGTTTTTGTACACTTTATTGAGTAATAATAATATGTTACTGAAATCCATTTAAGTACCACCCTGTATTTGACTGTATATTTACATCGCAAGATGACAATAAAAAAAAATTGTTTTTGTTATTTTCTGTTTATAAAACACTTTATTATTTTATAATATTATAATAAATATCAATATAAAGTGGACGTAAAAGAAAAAAATATTATAGACAAGAGGTGAGCATATCGCATGTATATGGACTTAAATATTGTATATAATATTTTGTATGCATGTTGCAGAAAAGGTACAGCTAGTTCGATCCGCCAGGCATGATCACTCACATATTTTCATTTAATAATGAATTATTCAACTAATTCTAATTTTTGGAATTTTTAAATATACTTAAGGACTATATTTTCAAATGTTTAAATTGTTTATACTATTCAAGATATATAAAAGGTATTGAAGGCTAGGAGTGTACTGCGGTGATACAAATGAAAATCAACGTTTTTAAATTTTGAGCGGAACGATAAATGTATTGATTTTTACAATGATGTGTGGGTTTTTATTTTTATTTTTCGTCTTCACGTTTTGGGGCAGTAAAAATCCTTTAATTTTCTACTTCAACATCTTTTATTTTCACTCAGGTAAATTTAAAAACAATTGTTCCACGTGTTTAATAGATCTTGTATTACGACAGAATGACAGATAAATTTAAATAAAAATAATGATTTTATCAATTCGTTCTATTTATACGGTTGACATTCATGGTAATTTAAATTAAAATAATGATCTCGTTTGTACCAGTAAAGGTATTATTGTAGGTATACACGTGATCTAAGTCCACCGAATAAAATAATATAAGTATAGTATGTTATATTATTATTATATTGAATATTGTTAAGTATAATAATATTTTAATATATGAAAAACATTTAACAAGTAACACTAGTAATCTAATAAGTAACTTTTATTTAACGCATGGTTAGGTTAAGTTAGGTCATATTGTATATTTGTATAGGTATTTATTTTATCAGCATCTTACATCACCGAGGGTTACATTTTTCTAAAAAATTATGTTTTAACTCAACTATATACCTATATTAGTTCATCATTTTTGATAACCATAAATTCGTTTTATAATTATATTTATTAATTATTACCTATAGTTAGTACTTAAAAGTACATAATACAGTAGATTCTCGTTATGTCGAATCTCAAGGGGAACAGAAAAAAGTTCGAGATATCGAAAACTTCGAGATATCGAGTTTTATTAAAAAATAAAAAAAACTAATATAAATGTATGTTGTATAATTTAAATGAATAATAAATAATACGAATGACTAAAATAGACTAAAATTTGAATAATTAAAATACTGAAATGACTGAATAAATTATTTTTCTTTAAAAAAATCTGTCATTAAGGTTTGCTTCATATTACTTCTTTCTGCCACGACGTCTTCCAAATTATTTAATGCAGAAAAAGCCTTATCATCCATACCTGTAGTAGTCTCAACAAAATTCCTTAGTGTTTTTAAAGCATCTTTAGCTTGTTGAATTGTTACTTGGGTAAAAATGACTTCCTCCTCATTTTGTGGTTCGTCTTCACTCTCGCTGGTATTTTCTATGGTTTCTGATAAAATGTCGTTATCTGTCCATGTTCCACATACATTTTTAATCCAATTTGAACAACAATGTGTGTCTACTAAAGCTTTTTCCCCACAGACAGTTCGAAAAACTACATCGTGTCTTTTTTTCCAATTTGTAAGCCATCCACTACTAGCTTTAAAATTAGTGTGTCCTAGTTGTTGTGCATATTCGTTTGCTTTTTCAAGTAAAATTGTTCCATTTAATGGTATGTTTTTATCTCGACACTGAGTAAACCATTTTAGCAAACATTTATCAATGTCTAAATAAGGAGTCATCCTCATTTTTTTCATATTTCCACAATTGAACTTCATTATTTTCTCTTTCTGTTTAATAATTGACGATAATGTATTTGGTGGAATATTGAATTCTTTAGCGATTTCACATTTTTTACGGTCACCTTTTTCAACTAACTGTATTAAACGAACTTTGTCTGAAATTGAAAGAACATTTAATTTACGCTTCTTTTCCATTCCACTACAAACGAACAAAAAAACTACGAAAGACTACAAAAGTGACTACCAACGCGCTAAATCACAATCGCTATACTGCACTGCCTGCACAATGTATGCAATGTACTGCACAATTCCTATGCTAACCGTAACAAAAATATTATTTGTGAACTCGAGATAACGAAAAACGATTAATTTTATATCGAGTTATCGAGAGCAAAACACTATTAAGTGTAATAGTAGTTTCAAGGGGAATTCAAAGTAGTTCGAGATAACGAAAAATTCGAGATAGCGACGTTCGACATAGGTATTAAGAATCTACTGTATTATGTAATATGCTTTATGAAACAACTAAAAATAATGATTTACACTTTACAGCATATATGTTTAAAAGAGCCGGATTGGATATAGAGACGTGGTGTTGGGAATTCATATTTGGATCACTCACCTCGTTGCGGGATAGTGGTATCATTTATATAAAGCGTGATAGGTAGGTATTGCATTTGAAAGCAAACATAAATCATTGTCTTCTGAAATCGATATGGACTTTAGTTATTTGAATCGAAAACTTGCTGAGACACCTTAAACATTTTTAGAACTTTATCAGTACCTACCTAATATTTATTTACAAACCACATAGGTATATCGTATAAAGGTATATATTATATTTTGATAACTGCCTACCTACCACTGTATCCAATTTTACTATTTTAATATAAAAAAATACATAACATCCAAAACTAGGTATACAAACAGATATACTAATATATAGGTACACTTATATTGTCAAAAAAGAAACCTAATAATGGAATATTTAAAATTTAAAATTGAATACATAATCATTGTGACCATGTAATCACTGAGCCTCCACCGTATTTTAATTTCTACTCCGACACACACCTACATCTAGGTGTGCTTGCACGTTATACGGTTGAGGAGATAATTACCCGACCACATCTATTGTAAATGTTAATTAATTTTGAATTTTTTTAACAAGGTAAACAAGCCATAACGTCAGACAAAAAAAATCTATATCACTATGTATTTTATTTTTACTCCTGGATTTTAGCTTTTTTTTTTAACCTATTTACTTATCTAATAATAGTTGTTATCTTAGTACTACGACCCTATATGAGAAACATCGGAATCATTTAGTTTACTTAATTATTCTACTCCAGAAAATGTATTTTATTAACTCAACTATTTCCCAAAAAAAATTTTACAGACACAAAAACAAAAAAAATACAAGGTTATTAGTAATAAAAAAGGTTAACTATTTTAACTACGTGCCTATACGTAATTGTTTTATCTGAATGCAATTAATTTGTATTTTGTTTGTGATTTAAATTAAAAATCTTAATCTGAAAATCAAAAACAATCCTAAACTACCAAATGTCTTTAAAAAAATGTATTCCTAGTTTAAGTTTTCAGATATATACAAAGGAATTATTATTCTCTGACATCTGTTAGTTTTTTCAAAAAATAATATTTAATGATATAATTTAAGTAATTCTCATACTTTTACCTTTATCTCCACAATTCTCATGTACTGTTATAGTTCATCTTATGCAATCGATTTTTTTTTTTTATCAGATCGCATTTTTCTCTTAACCCAAAATAAAAATAATTATTTCATTTTTATTTTCTACAAACACGTTATACCTAAATTCTATTTTGTTCTGTATAGTTAAATATTATATATTTGGTGAAAAATAGATAAAGTTTGTCATTGATTTATTTATTAATACATTTTCAACTATTTAAGTTGATTTTTATTTAATCTAATTTTTGATAAGGCTGAATGAGATTATAATTTCAAAGACATGGAGAATTTTACTCTTCACCAAGGGTGCCCTCATGAATATAAACCGGGGGGGGGGGGAATTCAAAAATCTATGATCACAAAGCCCATACTATTTTTTTTTTTTTTGCTAGTGATAGAGCAATTAATATTGACTAAATTGTATTAGTTAGGTATACTATTATTTTCTAACCACTAGGTATATTACTTTCAAGTTTTTTTTTAGTTTTTTTCCAATTTATGTATTTTTGTTTGTAAATCAAAAAGTTCGAACATGTAATACAACGTTCCACATAAATTGCTTTTACAGAAATAATTAAAAACAAACTAAAATTGAAGGTCACAATTATTTTTTTATAAGCGCCTGAATTTAAAATTTCGATCAAATGATTGTAATTTATTTTGTTCAAATATAGTCAATCAAAATCAAAATTTCCATTTTAATAATCTCCAATTAAAATAATATATAATACTACTGCATAATACCTATTTATTTAAGCTTATGCATATCAATTATTATTTACTATTTAGGAATTTAAAATTTAAATATACTTTTACATTATATAAATGGATTTAAATTAAAATGTAATAACATTTAAGCCCACCGTAGGACGAGTGTAGGTACATATAGTTACACTGAATGTACACACCAGTTGTGCTATATATAAATATATAATTACAAATGACAAAATTATTGAATTATTGATATAGATATTATAATATGTTATGATTCATTGGCATAAATCTAGAACAGTATTTACTATTTAAGTATTTAACCATAATATATTATTTATTACTTGTACGGCGGTTCGTACTTAATTCTATTGCTATTGCCCAATTAAAGTAATGATATATAGAGTAGTGATTTTATTGATATCGATTGACGGCATAGTATAGCATTGTAAATAAAATTATTAGTCAACAATTCAATTGGTACCTACTTATTTCTAAATTTCTTGGTTCTTAGAGGTCTAAATTAGGCTCCCAATCAGTTTTAAATGCCTACATTAATTATTTTCTCATTATTTGGCAGTAAGATAGGTAATGAAGTTTCATTCTTATTTCTTAGAGAATTTTAATATTATATTTTACTTTTAAAAATTGAGTGTAGTAGTACCTAGGTACCTATAAATTATAATTTTTACTAGTTTGCGTATTCAGTAAAGATATTATGATGTATAATATTATTAAGATTGTATAGATATTATTGTATAGATATATTTTATTATTTAAAATCATATAATATTAAATCTTACTTTTTTCATGTTTTTGACTATATCCTGGCTACAATAATGATTTAAAAATAATAATGTTACGTGTAATGAAAAATGTATAATTTTTAACTCAATTACATTTTAAATTTATAATATTATTATTTTAAAAATGGCTTTTAGTATATTAGAGAGTCATCGAATAGACCGTTACGAGTTTGAAATTTTCATTGGTCAAGTTAATTTTACGGGATTTAATGAAGAATCAGACTGCAAAGCAAATAACCAAAAGGATTTAGATGAATCTGGTTCTAAAGTAAATCAATTATAATTTAAATCTTTTAGTACTTCGATATACTGAACAGTGAAACTGAATAATAGCTTCACAACACTTTATGTAAGGCACTAAGATAAATAAATGCTACATTAATTAATATTATTAGAATCTAGGATGTTATTATGCTTCCTAAGATTCAACGGTATTTCAATGGAATTTATAAAATGTGTAGTAATTTATAAATTCATTTTTTTTCTTTTTTGGATACATATTAACATCTGTAAAGGTATGTAGGAAGTATTTGCATAAAATATAATAAACGTTTTAAATAACAACTGTGACACTATAGTTGATGTCTATGAAATATCTACAACGAACTATACTCAAGAATGAGTATTCAATTTAAAACAAATTATATTAAAATCTATCATAATACTTAATAGTATAATATTAGTATGTATAATTGTTTTGTAGAAAGAAGAAGTATCAAGTCAAAAGTATACTATAAAGGCAGTGTTGGATAATATATTTCAATTGAACATATCCAACTATGATAAAATCGAGGAAGATTCTGAAGACGAATGCTTAACATATTATGATGATTTTGAATCAAATGACTCGCTTACTGATATCGTTAAGCAACTTACCGAACGGTATTCTGTTAATGAAAAACCCAGTTGTAATGCGCACAATATTTGTTTTGACATCACATACAAAGAGAGTGACAAAGCGGCTAATGCCATGAAGTCCACTATAAATAGAGGTGAAATACTAGACTAAAATTAATGCATTTTAACCTATTACATTTTTTTATTATAGGTAATTATTTAAATAGAACCATGCCAAAAAATTTGAGTGAAATTAATTTTCACTCATATTTTGTATACGAGGGGGTTAAGAAATTGTACTGACATAACATTTTATAAAATAAGTGATTGGAATAGAAATTTTTTTTTAAATGCATTTAACTAGGTATACCTAAATTTATTGTACCTATATTAATTTAAACTGTAGGTAGGTATATTCCAATTCCAATTATTATGGTCGTTAATAATATTATATTATAGACCATAGTAATACTAAGTACCTTATTTACTTCAGTACCTAGTAGTGTTGTACCTAAACATCAGAGGATTAATATTTAATTATTATTACATTTCAAACAACAATATTAAACAAACTAATATTATATTTACCTTTAATTTTGCTTAGGTGTGGTCTGTATTTTTGCCTGTGTACCTAGGACATTAGTAACAATTTTACAAAAGTAAGAAACACGATATTTTATAATTACAGATTTATACATAGCTATACTTACACTATTTCATGTTACTCTGTCGAATTAGATAAGTACTTTTTTATCTAGATAAAGATAAAGATATTGCAACTCAAATGTATCTAAATAAAGATAAAGATAAATACTTTTATATCTAGATAAAAAAAAAAAATACAATTATTTTTTAAATGGCTTTAAATTTAGGTTTATTTTAGTTGAGCACTAGGAACATAATAATAATAATGATATAAATAAAAATAATTACATTATTTATAAACCATAAGCTTTGTTTGAGAATCTGTATAAATATTTAAAAATTCAGTTGTACAATAAAAAATAAAAATGTACCTAGATGAATTTATTTAGATTAGTAAAAAAATTATCGAAGATGAACGTTTAGATACCTTGTAACTATTTATCTAGATAAGATAAAAGATGAACAAATAATTATCTAGA